TTGGAGGATTGGCTACATAAGGGGTGTGTCACTTAATATGCAAATGAGTACCTGCTGCAAAAAGAGTCCTGCCCACTACTACAATTTAACTCCAAATCGATCGAGATCACTTCCCCAAGAGAAAATGGCTACTCTGGAGGGTGGACTCTATGGCCTCGTACCCTGCTGAGGTCCCTCCCCAACCCCCACCCTTCCCAGGATCCACACACACCCCAAATCTCCAGGTGTTCCCCTACCCTAGAGCTGGCGACCCTTCATAGCACCTGAGACACTTGTCTCTGACAAAGGGATCTTTGACTCTCGGAAGCTTGCACGACGGAAATCTTGTTAGTCTGTTGAGGGTGCTCCTGGACTCGAATCTAACCTTTCTTAGGGTGAGTCTGTCTAGCGGAAGGAGCGAGCCTCCATCACCCTCTGGAAATCAAACATGTGAGCTGCCCTTTGATGGAGAAGACCCTGATCCTGGGGGAGAAGTGAGGAATCTATTCCTGTTCGTAAAGGATAGAGAAGACTCACATCCCTGAACAGGAGTCATTTCGTAGAAAAAGAGGTGCAGGAGCTCATTAGCATAACTCATTTGCATGTGCCACACCCCCTGACATCACCGGAAGTGTGTCAGAAGGCAACACCCACCGCTCAGGCTCCACTGGACTGTTTTGGATTGCTAGCTATTGGGGAGGGGGGAACGTGCAGGTCTGTCCTCGCAGAGGAGGGAGAGCTTGTACCTGAACAAAACTTGGTCTTAAAGTTGCCACTGGACTGTTTTTTTTTGGGGGGGGGGCTCTGCAATTTACCTGGCTGCTTCTTGCTCTGACTGAGGGCTGCTGGGAGCAGGGGGCGGGGCTTGTTGCATGTGCCCACCCCCTGGGCTCTTTACTGCCGGAGCTCCGCTCCTGTGCGCTTCTGCAGGAAATGACCCCTGTCCCTGAATAACTCATGAATGTCCGTTGGCCTCTGTGCTAGTGAACGTGTCCTTCATTACAATCCCAGATGCTCATTATAAGCAATGCTCCCTCTAAGCTGTGGAGTCTCGTGAACAAAGATTCTACTTTGTGAGCTACTTTGTGAGAGCCAGTTTGTTGTAGTGGTTAAGTGCATGGACTCTAATCTGGGAGAACCGGGTTTGATTCCACACTCCTCCACTTGCACCTGGCTGGACGACCTTGGGCAAGGCATAGTTCTGGCACAGCTGTTCTTGAAAAAGAGCAGTTTCTGTCAGAGCTCTCTCAGCCCCACCTACCTCACAGGGTGTCTGTTGTGGGGAGGAGAAGGGAAAGGAGTTTGTAAGCCGCTCTGAGACTCTGAGTGAAGGGCGGGGTATAAATCCAATCTCTTCTTCTTCTACCACTGGCATTAAAGTTGTGAACGAGCGATTTGGCTACTGCATAGATTAGTTTGCTCTGGAGCCATCCTCCCTGAGCTAAAACGAACATGTGCGAGCCGGAGGCTAAAAGACTGTGACCTAGCTCGCACTAACTCACCTTAGAGGGAACACTGGTTATAAGAGCAAAGGTTGCTAGTCCAGGAGTGTTATCCTGAATCAGCTATCCTGGTTGTAACAGGCCAGCAATCTGGGAGTTTGTTTTTAAGTTCCTTTCCCAGCCCACTCTGTGCTCGCATGGAAGACTGGACTTGTGTCTTTGATCTCCTGCCTCCAATCACATTTCCGCATAACCAAAGCAGTGGCCATGGTGTTGTTCATACAGTCCCCTTATCCTCGAATGAAAGCTATGCAGTTCATTTCCCCGTGAATGGGGAAAAGGCAGTGTGCATCCCCAGAGAGGCAAAGGTAGTTTTGCATTATTTTCAAAGACCAAACAAATAACATAATGAGCATTTGGTGGTAAGAGGAGGGAAGAACTTGAAGCTTGGTAAAACGTTCCGCCTTTTTGCTTGGTTGGTTGGATTCTAACATGCCTTTTTTTTTTTTTTTTACTTCTGTTCAAATTGATTTGCATAACAGTTATTCATGGGAGTTAAGAGTGGGCTTATCCATTTAGACAGGGCTTCTCTTCGAGTTAGTGGGTGTGAAGGCGCTGATGACATTGCCCCAATTAATCTGCTTGACGAACTTGAAAGAACATCATAGTTCTTTGTGCTAGTGGAGACCATGAACTGTGGAGAGATCACGTCCACATGCTTTAGGGCGTAAGCCATCCTTTAGCTAACAGGGTTCGGGGAGGAAACATACTTGGAACATGCACACTTTTACTGGAAGCCACTGGCCTTTTCTGCTTTCAGTTAGAGGGTGATGGACTTCCTGGGCCATTGGTTCATCTTGTTTGTAAATCTTGCTTAACACCAGCATTGCCACTGGACAAGAGTGGGTAGGGTTGCCTGTTAGAAATATTTTATTTATTTATTTATTTATTCAGGTATTTCTACCCCGCCCTACCCCGCAAGCGGGCTCAGGGCGGCTTACAAAGGCATAAGCCCATACATAAAATTTATAAAATCCGATAAAATCACAAATCACGACCAGCATACTATTAATAATATTAAAGTGCTTTAGATTACAAGATGGTCTGCAGTTTGGCACCTGCAGGGAATTACCCCTGCCGACTTTAGTCATAATGAAATCATCCTGGCAGTATTAGTCCAAGCTAAACAGCTGGTCATTGCTGTCATATAGTTCACCTCGTCGCCGGGCTATCAAGGGCGCTCCAACTTGATGATCTTTCCATCGTTGGTGGTGGTGGAAGCGGCGTGTGTTGCAAGGTCTAAAATCCGGTCATTATAGGGTTAATGTGTGTTTACCTTGTGTGCTATTGTTTAGACTGACCTGGAAAGGAACCTGGCACAGAGCCAATGGGAAGAAAGCCCGGGAAAACTGAAGCCTATTTACTAACAATCATTGGTTAATGCATTCAGGTGATTTCCTTCTAGGGGTCAAGAAGAAGAAGAATCTCCATTGTTGTAGGCCGTGTGGTCAGAGTGTAAAGATGTAGCCTTAGGCATCTTTGTTGTTTTGTACATTTCCCGTGAACCCTTCCCTTAGAAATAAAGATTTTTACATAGAAGAAAATGCCTCCTCTCCAGTGAAGCAAAGATCCATTGCAATCTCTGAACATTTAACTATTTTGCCAATTTTCCCAACATTGCCAGCCTCCAGGTGGTGGCTCTATTACAACTGATCTCCAGGTGAAAGAGATCAAGTTGAACTCTATGGCATTCTGCCGCATTGACCTCCCTCCCCTCCCCCAAACCCCACCCTCCTCAGGCTCCACCCCCAAAACCTCCAGGTATTTCCCAACCCGGAGCTGGCAACCCTAAGACTGGAATATGTGTAAGATTCCAGAGCCCATAGAAAGTTTGCTGTCCTAACCATGGTTCCATGCTTTCCTAACCATGGTTCCATGCTTTCCTCTCCATCTAAAGAGCATGGTGGAACATAAGCCGGGGGGGGGGACAGGGATGTGTCTCTCTACCAGAGCGACAAGGGTGATCGGGGGCCTGGAGACCAAGCCCTGTGAGGAAAGGCTGAGGGACTTGGGAACCTTCAGTCTGGAGAAGAAGAGGTTGAGTGGGGACATGACCATTGTTCCCTCTAAGCTGTGGAGTCTTGTGAGCAAAAATTCTTCTTTGTGAGCTACTGTCATTGAAGTTGTGGGCGAGCCATTTGGTTACTGCACAGATTAGTTTGTTCCGGAGCCCTCCTTCCTGAGCGAAGACAAAAATGTGTGAGCCGGAGGCTAAAAAACTGTGAGCTGGCTCACACTAACTCAGCTTAGAGGGAACACTGGACAGGACTGCTCTCTTGAAATATTTGAAGGGCTGTCACTTAGAGGAGGGCAGGGAGCTGTTCCTGTGGGCAGCAGAGGAGAGGACTCGCCATCATGGGTTTAAATCAAGGGCGGGAAGGTACCGGCTGGATTTTAGGGAAAACGTCTTTACAGTCAGAGTCGTGCAACAGTGGAATCAGCTGCCTTGGGAGGTGGTGAGCTCACTGGCTGTCCTTAAGCAGTGGCTGGTCAAACCCTTGTCAGGGATGCTCGAGGCTGATCCTGCATTGAGTGGCGGGTTGGACTAGATGGCCTGCATGGCCCCTTCCAACTCTTGTGATTCTATGCTTCTATACCATGCCTCATCCCTTTCGGGCCCTTGTTTTGACCACCCTCCCTCCGGCTGTTCTCATCAGTTCCCGTGGAGGAAGCCCGTTCCTGGCTTGGAAAGCCCTTGTCCTCGTCAGCTGCCTTGAGAAGTAGCCAATTTGCCAGCAGGTGTTGACGCTCAGCTGCAGTAAAGGAGAATCTCTGGCGTTTAGGAAGGCAGGCTGGGATGCGGGACGCAGAGGGTGGGTGCGTCTGGAAGGGGCTTTAGGAAGGCGGATGCAAAATGGTGAACGGGCAGAGACCGAGTCACTGTCAGTGGCATCAGAGGCCGTTTAACAGACACACGAGATGGCAAGAGAGATGCTGTCTTGTTCTCTTCTCCCTTCTCTAGATACTAGACCTGCTCCCCCCCATAATTTCCCCCTCCTCATCATTCTGCCATCTAGATTATAACCAGGGGTCATTTCCTGCAGGAGCGCACAGGAGCGGAGCTCCGGCAATAAAAACCCAGGGGGCGGGCACATGCAACAAGCCCCACCCCCTGCTCCCAGCAGCCCTCAGTCAGAGCAAGAAGCAGCCAGGTAAGCTGCAGAGCTCCCCCCGGCCCCCCGGGTCCAAAACAGTCCAGTGGCACCTTTAAGACCAAGTTTTATTCAGGTACAAGCTCTCCCTCTGTGAGGGCGGAACTGGCCCTCCCCCCCCCCCATAAGCTAGCAATCCAAAACAGTCCAGTGGAGCCTGAGCGGTGGGTGTTGCCTTCTGACACACTTCCGGTGATGTCAGGGGGTGTGGCATATGCAAATAAGTTATGCTAATGAGTTCTGCTAATGAGCTCCTGCACCTCTTTTTCTACGAAATGACCCCTGATTATAACTGTGTCGAGTGAAGGTTTGGTTTTAAATATGAATGTGCGTGTTGAGCTTTTTCTCTCCCCCTTCTCCGTCTTAGGGACGCAAGCCGGGCTACTTCTCTTTCCTGGATCCCTTCTCTCCTGGCGTCTGGCTCTTCATGTTACTTGCCTACCTCGCGGTCAGCTGCGTCCTCTTCTTGGTGGCCAGGTAGGGAGAACGCCTCCTTTCGCTCTCCTTTTTCCCCATCCTCACAGTGCCACCTACTGACGTCTGCTAAGAATGCACGGGGAAATCTAACGCGGGGGTTCGCTGTCAATCGTGCAGGGATGAGAAAGATGTTGATCGGGATATTTCAGGATGGTTAGGATAGAAAGTTGCTCCGGAAGTTTACGACATCATTCCGTTATATAGCCGGGAAGAGAAGGGAGTGAAGTGTTACCATGTACAATGCCTATATCACGTGCCCGGCCTCCCATTGCAGGGGTAGTCGAAAGCGACATTATGCTGTACGTGTGGCTGATAACTGGTGGACCACCTTGCTTGCACCTGCCTAAGAATGCTAAACTAGCTTAACCTTGGTCTAATCCAGTGAGATACAAATAAGTGGGTTCTAGATTCCCCCTGCTACGTAAGATATCAGGAGTTTATTTGTGCATCCGCAGAACTGATTTTAGCCTGTTTTAAATTTGTACTTGTATTCTGTAAACTTGTATATTGTATGCACTTTGTGCCCAATGTGAGCCGCCCTGAGCCCGTTCGCGGGGAGGGCGGGGTATAAATGCAATTTAAAAAAATAGATTCTTTTGAATTATGGTGCTAGAGAAGACTCTTGAGAGTCCCTTGGACTGCAAGAAGATCAAATCAGTCAATCCTAAAAGAAATTAACCCTGACTGTTCCCTGGAAGGCCAGATAATGAAACTGAAGCTCAAATATTTTGGCCACCAAATGAGAAGGGAGCCCTCACTGGAGAAGACCCTGATGCTGGAAAAGAATGAAGGTCAAAGAAGACGAGGACGGCAAAGGATGAGATGGTTAGACAGTGTCATAGATGCAACGAACATGAAGTTGAGCAAACTTCAGAGGACGGCGGAAGACCAGAAGGCCTGGCGTGATCTGGTCCATGGGGTTGCGAAGACTGTGCGAAAGAACAAAAAGATCAAATCTAGCCTGAACGCTCCCTAGAAACTGAAATGACTAAACAGAGACTATCATACTTAGATAACATTATGAAAAGACAAGAGTCCCTGGAAAAGACAAACAGGCTAGGAAAAGTTGAAAATGGTTCCATGTGTTCTTTGAAAATTTGGGAGCTGCTTTATGAGACCAGACGAAGAAGTTGGAAGATGTGATGTATTGTGGATTAATTATGTGCGATCGCAGTACTTGTTCAGGCCTGTAGCTACAGTGGGGCATTTTGGGGCCCAGCCCCCCAACGTCCTGCCAAGGCCCCATGAGTTTCCCTCCATCCAAACCCTCCCCCACCCCGATGGCATACATCCGAGAGTTCTGAAAGAACTCAATTGTGAACTTGTGGATCTCCTGACAAAAATATGTAATCTCTCCTTAAAATCAGCCTCCATTCCTGAGGACTGGAAGGTAGCTAATGTCACTCCCATCTTTAAAAAGGGTTCCAGAGGAGATCCGGAAAATTACAGGCCAGTCAGTCTGACGTCGATACCGGGTAAATTGGTGGAAACCATTATTAAGGAAAGAATTAGTAGGCACATAGATGAACAAAACCTATTGAGGCAGACTCAGCATGGGTTCTGTAAGGGAAGATCTTGTCTCACTAATCTGTTAATGTTCTTTGAAGGGGTGAACAAACATGTGGACAAGGGGGATCCAATAGATATTGTTTACCTTGACTTCCAGAAAGCTTTTGATAAAGTTCCTCATCAAAGGCTCCTAAGTAAGCTCAAAAATAATGGATCAAAAACTGGCTAATTAATAGAAAACAGAGAGTGAGTATAAATGGGCAGTTCTCTCAGTGGAGGGGGGTAAGCAGTGGGGTACCGCAGGGATCAGTACTTGGTCCACTGCTTTTTAACTTGTTCATTAATGATTTGGAATTGGGAGTAAGCAGTGAAGTGGCTAAATTTGTGGATGATACGAAGTTGTTCCGGGTGGTGAAAACCAGTGAGGATTGTGAGGCACTCCAAAGGGATCTGTCAAAGATGGGCGAGTGGGCGTCAACATGGCAAATGGGGTTCAATGTGGCCAAGTGCAAGGTGATGCACATTGGAGCCAAAAATCCTAAATATAAATACACGTTGATGGGGTCTGAACTGGCAGAGACTGATCAAGAGAGAGATCTTGGAGTTGTAGTGGATAACTCACTGAAAATGTCGAGACAGTGTGTGACTGCAATAAAGAAGGCCAATGCTATGCTGGGGATTATTAGGAAGGGTATTGAAAACAGATCAGCCAATATCATAATGCCGCTATATAAATCAATGGTGCGACCTCATTTGGAATACTGTGTGCAGTTCTGGTCACCACACCTTAGAAAGGATATTATAGCTTTGGAAAAAGTGCAGAAAAGGGCAACTCGAATGATAAAAGGGTTGGAACACTTTCCCTATGAGGAAAGGTTAAGGTGCTTAGGGCTCTTTAGCTTGGAGAAACGACGACTGAGGGGTGACATGATCGAGGTTTATAAGATTATGCATGGGAAAGAGCAGGTAGAGAAAGAGGTACTTTTCTCCCTTTCTCACAATACAAGAACTCCCCAGTGTGATTGGGTGCCGACGGAGGGAGAACGGAGCCGCGGGGGAGCGTAAGATCGCGCTCCCGTGCTTCTTTTAGCTCCGCCTCTAAAATGCCTCCCTTCCAGTGCGGATTTTCCCGCCTTAGTATAATATTCTTCATAGCATTTGTTAAGAAGAAGAAGAAAAGATTGGATTTATACCCCGCCCTTCACTCGGAGTCCCATAGTGGCTTACAAACTCCTTTCCCTTCCCTTCCCTTCCCCACAACGGACACCCTGTGAGGTAGGCGGGGCTGAGAGAGCTCTTTCCAGAACTGCCCTTGAGAGAACAGCTCTGAAAGAACTTGTGACAGACCCAAGGTCACACCAGCAACTGCAAAGGAGTGGGGAATCAAACCCGGTTCTCCCAGATTAGAGCCCACACACTTAACCACTACACAAAACTGGCTTAAGGGTTCGGAAACTGTTTTTATAAATTTTTCGTTATTATTTCCATGGGCTTCTGGTCTCTTAGGAAAAGTTGAAGGCAGCGGGAAAAGAGGAAGACCAACATGGGATGGGTTGACTCAGCCATGGAAGCCATGAGGTCTCTCCCTTTGCAAGACCTGAGCGAAGCTGTTCAGGAGAGGACGTTTTGGAGGACATTAATTCTTAGGGTCACCAGAAGTCAAGAGTGACTTCGCAGTATTTAATACACACACACTTGCTATTAAGCAAGGAAGCATAACCAGGAATGCTTGGCAGGGATTAGTTATGCCTGAGGATACGGTCTCTCAAAAGACACAGGTGGGCCACGTAGATTCTGGTAGGCTTTGCAAGATCGGAGTCAGCCCAGCCTTGTCCAACTGTGGGGAGAAAACAGTCATGCGGCACCTGACCCTAAGGTGTCATTCTGCCGAAAATGCAAACAGTTTGTCGTTGCTGTAAAAGGCAACTGCCCGGACTGCCTGGTCTCACACACAGTGGAAACACTGACAGCAAAGCAGGCTACAAGAAACTGAGCTGTCAGATTAGTTAGGGCAATTTCTCACTAGAGCTGCCTCGCAGCACAGCCGCCGTTTGCCCCGACACAAACATGTCAATTTCACACCCGAAGCTCCGGGGCTGCATTTTGACTCGGGGCTTCGCCCGATTTCCTCCGCAGTTTCGTGATCCTGGTTTTTGAGGATCATGAAACTGCGAAGGAAATCAGGCAAAGCCCCAAGTCAAATGCAGCCCCGGAGCTTCGGGTGTGAAATTGACATGCTTGTGTTGGGGCAAACGGCGCTGTGCTGCGAGGCAGCTCTAGTGAGAAATCGCCCTTAGGATTTGGGTTGGACTGGCAATGACCAGAAGGAGCATTAAAAAGGGGGAAACGTGAGAGATTAACATCCATAAAACGCAAACAGACAGCACCTGGCTCTGTTTGGGCATC